ATATGAGCATTAGATACGCATGTCCGAAATACCTCAATGATTTCCTCAAATGGCCCCATGCTGTCGCCAGAAATTGGCATAAACGTGATGGTGTATCTGAAAACGGGTTGGTGCACGACCACTATAATTGCAGCTAACAATCTTGAAAAAACAACAACATAGAAATTGAGAATATAGTTGTGAGAATTCCTTGGAAATATCATTACATCAACAAACAAGATATCAAATAAATAATGTCACCTACTTGACTGCATTCAACCAGTTGTCTCCATAAACACAAAGGATGTGCTTCCGTGTATCAAGTAAATGTGCAACTTGAGTTTCAAGAGTATCCAAGTAGTGAAACGCCAACGGTGTGTCCCTAAAACAATAATCAGCATCAGTAATTGCGAACAACATCAACGTAATCGTGCTTTCCAGCCAGTAGGTGTTTAGATACTCAAACTAAACTACTAAAGGTCTAACACCTAGCTACTAAAGGATTCTGCTTTAACTAACCTGTCTTCCATGTGGAACTTCAGCGGTACAAATTCTCCTAGGTTTGCTATGGTAAATGGTACGAAAAACATTTCAGCTTGTGTACCCGCAGACTTCTTCTTTTGGCTTTCCTACAAAACGTTCATTTCAACTGCTCCTGTTCATACTCTAATGTGAATGTGTAATTCTGAGCAAAAAAAGTTTAGGAATACGTTGGAGGAAAGTTGAATTAGTGAGAATAAAGCTATGCTGTTATAAACGCACAGCTGCTGACTGTATAACTACGCTGTATATTCCTTGTGGTTCTCTATTCTAGACAGATTAAGTGTAAAAAAGAGTATGCCGGTCCATAGCTCTGCTCATTCCTTCTTACTCCTTATAAATATTCTCAGAAACGAAAAAAAAACAAGCGTAAATTACTTGAGAACAGCGTTTGCGAACCTGAATCAATCGTACACCTCCTTCCTTGTCAAACAGGACCAGCTTGAACTTGCTCGACGAAGCCGACTTACAAACAATACAAATGCCATGCTGTCTGTACTCTTCCTTCATTTCAATGCTGTAGAACGCACCTTCCTGGAACTCATTTACCCTTATATCTAGGACACAATTCAGGAATCAAACCACTAATTGAAGAATCAAAGAAATGTGAAGAAGAAAAAGGAACCTGTTTCGCGATGCTAGCCGAAATGCTTTCACCAGGTGCAATTGGTCGGGCTTCCACATCACAGGCTGAACCCTCGCAAAGTTGCCTAGCTTGAGCCAATACCTAAAATACGTGTAGGAAATGATTATCTAGCAAGCTGGCTATCCTTGCTCTATGAGATGCAAAAAATCTTTGAGAATCTACAAAGACTTTCGAAGGAAAACTTACTTTTGGCACAACGATTTAAATCCCTTTGATAGGATTGGAACACCCAATTTATTGAAAAGAGCTCCAAAAACCCGACCTAAACAAAACAGCTAGTAATAACTTACAAATGACTCACAAAATTCACACATACCTACTCCACCTAATTCGGATACATCGAATCCTTCGAAGTCTAACTGACTAGAGCTAGGCCCGCTCACATCGTACTGCCTACGCTTATTCGGATCGCTGAGGACTGAGTAGGCGATGGAAATCTTCTTGAATTGCTCTTGTGCTAGAATAATCAATTTATATGAGAATGATGGACGAATACGGCCAAACGTTCACCACCATTGAAAGGAAGCTCGGTCAATTAAGAGCTGTATTCTCATAAATTAAAATCCATGAATATAAGTCATCAATAAATCGTGACACCACAGCTATGAAGATGAATCAATTTGATCAGCTGCAAAAGTCATCTGCTTGATTTTCCAGAGCAATGACTATGTGATATTTTGCTGAATTATGCTGGGACATTCAATGTTGGCTTACTTCCTTTCTTTAGTTTGAGTGCACAAGCCCATTCAATAGCTTGTGTGACCCAACAGGGTAGTCAGGAAGTTCAGGTGGACAAATGGCTAACCCGATTAATCAGTAAGCCGAGCAAGCGTCACTGTAAGATCCCTGCAGTGATTTAAGCCTCGCAGTACAAACTGTACCGTGTAAAGGTTGTCCTTTAGGATTTCATTTGACTTCTTTATTAATCAGTTTCCTGAATTTCTATCAGAGAGTGATAATCTGGTTCAATCTGAAAGAATATTGCGTATCAAGACACAGAGTAGCGGCGAGGAAGGCTCAAACATAAGCATGATATGATAAGTATGTAATAACGGCGAGCCCACGAAAACGAAACTCGTAATAAC